GGTTGCCTGGTGACCGCACGCGCTATGGCTATGGAAAGTCAGGCTGCCGGGATTGGTTGCGGCGTATTCGTTGAACATCATCTGCTACTCAAAGGCCGTCATATGACATCGCCGACCTCTGCCACCGACAGTGTGTAGGTGCCTTCGAGATAGCCGTAGGCGCCGGCTGCCACGTAGTAGGTGCCGCCCGCATCGGGCGTGAAGGTCACACGGCTGTTGTAGCCCTCGCCGCCGTCGTCATCCCCGGTGCCGGATATCCAGTTGCCGGAAGGATCGTGGATCCCGCGCAGAAACGGGTCGGACAAACTGCCGCGGCCGGTCGCCCGTCCCTCCAGGCCGACTTGGTACGCCTGGCCGGCCTTCAGCTCCACCGCGAACCAGTCGACGTCTTGATAGAAATCGATCTTGCCCGTGACCGAACCCCCGACCGTCACTCTCCCGTTGGTGCTGCGGCCGGCCGTGTGAGGGTCGGAATCCTCCGTGATGTCGCTGACCGTCAACTCGTAGCCGCCTGCCGAGTGGGAAACGCCGCTGGCCGAGATGTAGTAGGTGCCGTCGGCGTTCGGCGTGAACTCCACCCGGGCGGCGTCGCCGGGGCCACTTCCCTCGCGGTCCGAGGTGTTGTAAAGAAAGTTGCTGTCCGCATCGTAGATCGCGAGGATCTCCGGGAGGTGCAGGGTGAGGCCGGGGTCGTAGAACGTGCCGGGGGCGATGAGAATCCCGCCCTGAAGGTCGATCTGGTAGGTCCGCCCCGCCTCCAGTTCCGCCGCGAACCAGTCGTTGTCGAAGGTGTAATCGATTCGCTGAAACTGGCCGTCCTTGATGATCTCCGTGCCGACCGGTTCCGAGATGGTGCCCCGGGCCCCGAACTCGTCCACCACCACCTCGCCGGTGGTGGTGGCGTTGCCGGGCAGGTCCATATCGTCTTCCACGAAACCCGGCGGCGTGATTTCACGCACCGACAGCGTGTAGCTGCCCCTACCGTTGTCGAATTCACTCGCTTGCAGGTAGTAGGTGCCGGTCGCGGTCGGCGTGAAGATCAGCCGGGAGTTTACGCCCTCGCCGCCATCGTCGGCATCCGTATTGGGAATCTTTGAGCCACCCGCATCGTAGATGCCACGCAGATACGGGTCGTCCATGGTGCCGCGGCCGGTTTCCGCGCCCTCCAGGTCGATCTGGTAGGTCTTGTCCGCCTCCAGTTCCACCTTGAACCAGTCGCGGTCGTTAGGGGGGGTGGAGTTGCCCGTGACCCAGCCGCCGACGTCGACCTCGCCGGTGGTGGCGGTGGAGGCGGGAAAGTCCGTGCCGACCGGTTCCGAGACGCTCGCCCGCCCGCTAGCACCGGGTGTACTCTGGCCCGGGAAGGTCTCAAGCTCCGTCTCCGGCGGACCCGGGACGAACACCGCCTCCTGCTGCGTCACGTCGGTCACGCGCAGCGTGTAGCTCCCGGTCTCGTTCCGGTCGCCCGACACTCGCGCGTAATAGGTCCCGCTCTCGGATGCCGTGAACGTCACCCGGCTGTCGCGGCCGCCCTCGAAGTCGTCGTTGTAGCTGTCCGACTGGTAGCGTCCCTCGCTGTCGTAGATCGCCCGGAAATAGGTGTCCCGAAGCGCCCCCCCCCGCCCGGGCTGCCCGTCAGGTCAAACTGGTAGGTCCGACCCGCCACCAGCTCGATCGCGAACCTGTCCTGATCGCCAGCGGTTCCGATGGTGCCCGTGGCCGAACCCGCGACCGCGACCCGGCCGGGGGTGGAGGCGTCGTTGGGCAGGTCCGTGTCGCCCTCCGAGATGCTCTGCCCCGTATCCTGATCCTGGCCGGTTCCGGCCGGCGGCGGGTTGCCTGCCTCGGACGGTGTCACGTCGCGCACCGACAGCGTGTAGCTCCCGGTCTCGTCGCGGTCCCCCGACGCACGCACGTAGTACGTCCCGCTCTGCGACGCCGTGAACGTCACCCGGCTGTCGCGGCTGCCGCCGAAGTCGTCGTTGTAGCTGCCCGACTGGTAGCGTCCCTCGCTGTCGTAGATCGCCCGAAGATAGGTATCGCGCAGCGTGCCGCCGCCGCTCGGGCTGCCTCCGAGGTCGAACTGGTAGGTCCGCCCCGCCACCAGCTCGACGGCGAACCAATCCTGGTCATGGGCGGTCTCAATGGTCGCGGTGGCCGAGCCGCCCACCGCGACGGCGCCCGTGGTGAAACGGTCTGCTGAATAATCGTCAGACATGGCAAAATCTCCTTGTTAATCAATGCCAACCCTGCTTCTCTCCTGAGTTGTCTTGGCCAACCCCGGCGCGGCGGCCGTAGCCAAGCCGCCACCGGGACAGGACTATAACATAGACAAAACAAATCCTTTGCATGCAATCATGTATTTTCTGATGACATATATAAATTTTGTCTTGGAACGGCTCTCCCGGTGCCTCATGACACCCCATTGCACCGAGTCACGGGCGGGAAACCGCATCTCGCCGCCACCACGTTGTCATTTCTTGTGCGACAAGATCATCCAGCGTTGGGCGCGAGATTATCGCCGCTTTCGGCTCAGATTATTTGAGACTATCTTTCCCCTTCGGCTCACAATAAATGAGAATGAGCGCAGATTAGCTGAGACGGACTCAGCTGGTTGAGACTGAGGCCGGGCGATGCGCATCCCGGCGTCTTGCTTGCTGCAGCAACCGACAAGCTATCCTTTTATGAAGCATACCTCGGTGTGCTATTCGCTATTCTCTTTTATATGGCGGGACACGCCGTCGCAGGAGGAAGAGAAGGTGAGTAATATTCAGATCATGCTATACACCGTCGGGGCCCTGTCCATCATCGCTTTCGTCTGGGCTACCCTCGACGTCCGTAGACGCAGGGCAAAACGCAATAAATCCCAAACCCAAAGATGACATACAAAACCGATCCAGCACATTCAACGAAGCCCACCATAAGTCGGGCATGACTTTTCGTGCAGATTCTCGATTTCTTGTGCAAGACCGACTTTTTGTGCAAAGCCGTGTGAATGGCCTGAAAGGCAACATAACGCAGGGTTATCGAACCAGTCAGCTGCCCCTCCGGGGCATTCCCTGGAGGGGCACTTTTGCGTCCGAAGGCGATACAATCGCTCATATTAGAACCGCACTGTTACGTAACGGGTGCAGCATCCACGTGAACCCGCCCCGCGCCAGTCTACGCCGGCGACTAGGTCGCAGCCGGCTCCGAGCCGCCGCAGACCTGGCGACCGGAAACTGTGCGTTGTCGTTCTTCGCGGCCCCGGAGGCCGCAGAAGCGGTTTTTTCGTGACTGCGATGGCCTGCCGCCCCAGTCTCACAATCACGGCGTCGACGTCCGAAGCCCTGTGGGGACTGTAGCGTCAGAGCCATTTCGGCGCCGCATGGGTGGCAGGCAGCAGCCTTGTGCACCGGCCGGGTATCATCGCGAAATGAGCGCGTTTCATGACCAGAACGTCGTTCAGGATAGAGTGCCAGCGCGATGGCGTCCGTACGTCGTAATAAAATGCACGTTTTACGGAGTCAGCCGAGGCTTTGGCTGCGTCGATGTGTGTGTTTGACAATGGATACAGTGAGATGTCGCAACATCGCGATTGATCTGGCGGATTGATATTTTTAGCGCTCTTGGAGACACACGCCGGCGGATGGGAACGAGATTGTTCAGAGGCGGCGAGGGCGCTCGGCCGGAATTTGCGTATCCAACTGAAATTCTGTACTTTACCGGTCCTTTCCTTATCGTGCATTTCTCCACTGATCGGGGTAGCACCCTTCCTCACGCCGCACCGACCCAATCCAGCAAACACGCATCCATCCAGCGATAGCCGCCGGGCCGCCCGGGGTGCCCCAGGAACCCCATGTGCCCGCCCTGTGGCGTGCGCACGACCTCGACGTTCGCGGGCAGGGCGGCGCCGTCGAAAACCGCGGCGTCAATCACCGGGTCGTCATCGGCGAACAGGATGCGGCACGGCAGGGTGATGTGCGGCACCCAAGGCGCGGCGCTGCTGCGTGTGTAGTAATCCTCGGCGTCGGCGAAGCCGCATTGCGGCGCGGTGTAGAGATTGTCGAACCGATAGAGCGACAGACGTTCGGGCAGGTTGACCGGCGCCAAGTCCGGGAACAGGCGATGGCGCTCGGCCACGGCGGCAAGCAGGCGACGCATGAAGTAACGCTCGTATAACCGGTTGGACGGCTGACTGAGCAAGCGCGAGCAGGCTGCGAGGTCGGCGGGCGGGCATACGGCGATGACTTGGGTGCAAAGCGCTTCCGCCCGCCGCCCCAGTTCACCGGCGAATTTCAGGATCACGTTGCCGCCCAGGGAAAACCCCAGCAGGGTCACGGGCGATTGCGGTGATTGATCCCGTAAGTCTTCCAGCACGGCCAGCACGTCGGGACTACGGCCGCTGTGATAGGGCTGCCGGGCAAGACCCACTCCCGCCCCGCACCCGCGCATGTTCATACGAATGGCGCGAATGCCGCGCCGCCACAGCTTGAGGGCTAAACGCATCATGTACGAAGATTGATGGCAACCGCACAGGCCGTGCAGTAGCAGAACGGTGGGGCTGTCGGGTCGCCATTGCGGCGGCGTGGAAACGACCAAGGCGATACGGTCGCCGTCCGGCAGGGTAACCACCTGTACCTCTCCGGGCGGCTCGCGATGCCACAGGCGCAGTTTGGCGGCTGCGATGGTCTGCAGGTGCGGTCCGCGCAGCAAGGGAAAGGGGCTAAAGCTGCCCGGGTCTGCCGCCATGCGGTCGGGTCCTTTTACACACAGGGGTTGGCGTCATACCTATGGCAGCGCAAGCTGGCCGGTATCGAACGGCGAGGTCAGGCAGCCGCCGTCCACCATAAGCGTCTGGCTGCATATCCAGGCCGCCTCGTCAGAGCAGTTGAACGTCTTACGTACCCTGTCGAACAGAGCCCGCCGGGCAATGGTGCGCCCGATGATGCGGGAACTCCCGGTGACCGGGGTTGTTCGGCCGGCGAATCGTATGGTGGCTCTCGTGTCTGGAAAGCCGCTCAATCCAACGGCATTTCGCCGGCCAATGCGGCGACCCCGCCGAAACGCGGGTCGTCGTGCAGTTGTTCCCAAATCACGCCCTGCAGGTGGTCGATCAGACGGGCCAGGGAACGGCGGTCGTGGGCGGAAATGGCGACCCCCTGGTGCAAGCGTTCAAGGTTGGCCGCCACTTCGGGCTCGATGAGGTCCATTTTGTTGAGCACGACAAGGCGCGGGGTTTCGCGCATGTCGAGGTCGCGGAGAATGCGCTCAACCGCTTCCATATGATCGTCCATGTATGGGTTGCCGGCGTCCACGACGTGCAACAACAGATCGGCATCGTGCAGTTCGTCGAGCGTGGAGCGAAACGCCGCCACGAGGTCGGGCGGCAGGTCGCGCATGAAGCCCACCGTATCGGTGATGATCACCTCCAGGTCACGAGGAAACCGCAGGCGCCGGCTCGACGGGTCGAGGGTGGCGAACATACGGTTTTCCACCAGTACCTGGCTGTTGGTTAGGGCATTCAGCAGGGTCGATTTGCCGGCATTGGTGTAGCCCACGATGGACAACACCGGCAGGTGGTGGCGCTGGCGCTGACGGCGGCGCAGGTGGCGGCCTTGTGTCACGCTGCGCAGTTGTTTCTCCAGGTGAGTGATGCGGTCCTGCACCCGCCGCCGGTCGATTTCCAGGTTGGTTTCGCCGGGGCCGCGCCCGCCAATGCCGCCGGTGAGCCGTGACAGGGCGGTGCTTTGGCCGGCAAGGTACGGCCTGAGGTATTTCAATTGCGCCAGTTCGACCTGCAATTTGCCCTCGCGGCTGTGGGCGTGCTGGGCGAAGATGTCCAGGATGAGCATGGTGCGGTCGATGACTTTGAGTTCGGTGCGCTCGGCGATGGCACGGCTCTGGCCGGGCGTCAGGCTTTGATCGAAGATGAGCAGGTCGGCGCCGACTTGCAGGCTGCGCACGACGACCTCGTCCAGCTTGCCGCGACCGAGGACGTAGCGCGGGTCGCGCCGGCTCCGGGCCTGGATAACGCGGTCCGCCGCCGCCACGCCGCAAGAGTCGGCCAATTCGGCAAGCTCCGCCAGCGATCCCTCGGCGGCCAGCCTGCTGCCCGGCGTGACGCTGATAAGAATCGCGCGCTCCCGCGTGTCCCCATCGGCAAAGGCGTCCTGGGTACGCTGAAACTCGTCTTCGAGCGATTGGATGAACGACAGAAAGTCCGCCTCCAGCCGGTTGATGGGCACGCCGTCTTGCACGTCCCACTGCCGGCCTTCGGGGTTGTCCGGCAGCAGCGAGGCAACGTGCGCGCTACCGGGCAGGCCGTCAGCGCCGACGTCAAGGGCCACCATGACGTCGAAACGCAGCAGGGCGAGGTCGGTCATGTCGTCAGGGGTGAAGGGCTCGCCGCGTAGATGGGTGTGCACATAGCGCAGGCCGCGCAGGCGGTTGGCAGCGGTGCGAAAGCGTCCGATGTCGGGCAGGAAGATGCTCTTGTGATCGCCGACCACGACGTGTCCAATGGTACCCTTGCGGTCAATCAGCACGCCGATCTGGCGTTTGAGTTCCTGAGACAATTCGCAAAGGTAGCGCCCGAGTTCCTGAGTGACGATCTGCTGCGCCGGTACTTTGCGGCGGTAGACGTGCTCAAGACGCCGCATCTGGTTCGCTTTCAGCCCTGTGACGTTGCCGTGTATGCGCTTGATTGCGTGTCTCCTCTCCGTGGATCATCCCGCGCGGCACACGATCATCCCGCCCCAGACAACCGGCCCTGGGCCTTGCGGATCTCATCACCCATGCGCTGTGCAGCCTCGCGCGCTGCCGCCCCATAATCAGATTCGGTATAACGGCTTGCGTAGGGCTCAGCAGACCAAGCGAAGATGATGCTGCGCGAGGCGTTGATCAGGGCGCCGTGTCCGCGGTCGTCGAAGCAGCACGCCACGTCAGCCGCAGTAGCGCCCTGGGCGCCGTAGCCGGGCACCAGAAACAAGGTGTGCTGCATGAGTGAACGCAAGCGGGCCGCCTGCTCAGGCCAGGTGGCGCCTACGACGGCGCCGACACTCGAATAGCCGTTGTGTCCGCGGCTGCTTTCGCCCCAACTTTCCACCAAGCGTCCGAGGTGTTCGTATAACGGTTGCCCGTCAACCTGCATGTCCTGTAGGTCACCGGCGGACGGATTGGACGTTTTGACCAGCACGAACACGCCGCGGTCATGCTGCTGGGCGCAGTCAATGAACGGCTGGATGCCGTCGCGTCCGAGAAACGGGTTGACGGTGAGGGCATCGGCGGTGAAGTCGCCGGAAGCGCCGAGAAACGCCTCGGCATAGGCGCCCGCTGTGGAGCCGATGTCGTTACGCTTGCCGTCGGCGATGACCAGCAACCCTGCTTCTTTGGCATGTTGCGTCGTGCGGGCGTACGCCTGAAGGCCGGGAATACCGTAACGCTCGTAAAAAGCGAGTTGCGGTTTTACCGCCGGGACGACATCGTGCACCGAGTCGATGATGCCGCGATTGAAACGCCACAACGCCTCCGCCACGGCCTGGACGTTGTCACCCAACTCGGCGCGGCACTCGGCCAACAGGTGCGGCGGCAGGCTCTCCGGGCGCGGATCAAGCCCCACCACGACGGCACTGCCTTTGGCGTCGATGGCCGCGCAGAGGCGGTCGGCAAAATGCACTTGGCGATTCCTCTATTTCACCGCGGGCTCATAATCTGTTGCCGGCGTTGTCGAAGAAAAACGCCCGCTCCAGGTCCAGCCGCAGATGCACCGCTTCGCCCTCACGGGCGCTCGTTTCTCCTTGCACCAGCGCCCGCAACTCCACGCCCCCCGCTTCCAGAATTAAAATCGTACGGCTACCCAAGGGCTCGATGAGGGAGACCCGCGCTGCCACCGTGTCCGGCCGTTCGGGCGCGATGGCGATCAACTCAGGGCGGATACCAAGCATGATCTCTCCCTGGTGCCGCAACGACGCCGTCCCGTCGGCCGCTTCGAGAGGCAACCGGAATGCCCGAGAGGCGAGGTTGAGTGTGCCGTTGTCCGTCTGCACCTGGCACGGCAGGCAGTTGAGCGGCGGCGAGCCAATGAAGGTGGCGACGAAAAAATTGGCCGGGTGGTGGTAAATGTCGTGCGGCGTGCCAACCTGTTGAACTTCGCCGTCTTTCATCACGGCAATGACGTCGCCGAGGGACAACGCCTCCTCCTGATCATGCGTCACGAAGATCGTCGAGATACCGAGACGTTTCTGAATGCGCTTGATTTCCGTGCGCATTTCCACGCGCAGCGCGGCGTCGAGGTTGGCAAGGGGCTCATCCAGCAGAAAGGCGTCGGGTTCCATGACGATCGCTCTACCCAGCGCCACCCGCTGCGCCTGGCCGCCGGACACCTCGTGCGGCTTGCGTTCCAGAAGATCTTCGACGTGCAGCAGTTCGGCCACCTCGTGCACCCGCCGGCGGCGTTCAGCGCGTCCGTAGGTCTTGTGCATGTCCAGGCCGAAGGAGATGTTGCGCCGGATGCTCAGGTGCGGAAACAGCGCCGTGTCCTGGAACACGAACGCCAGGTTGCGGTCCTTGGGCTGCAGCCGGGTGATATTGCGGCCCTTCACCCAGATGGCGTCGTCGTTATCCGGCTGCTCCAGGCCGGCAATGCAGCGCAGCGTCGTGGTCTTGCCGCAGCCGGACGGGCCGAGCAGCACCATCAGGGCGCCCTCGGCGAGTTGCAGGTTGACGTCGCGGCACGCCTGCACGTGGCCGCGCTGGAAGGTCTTGCGAAGATTATGCACTCGAATGCCGATGTTTTCGGCCACCCCGTACTCCCTGGTTATTAGCCGCGAACGGCGAATGTCTTCAGGAATTGGCCCTGCGCCAGGATATACAGCAGCACCGGCGGGATGCCGGCCATCAGCGTCATGACCATCAGCACGTCCCACTCGACGCGCTCGCCGCCTACTGCCGAGACGTAAATGATGACCGATGCGGTGCGCGGCCCTTCGCCCGTCGTCAGCATGTTGGAGAACAGAAAATCGTTCCAGCCGACCAGAAAGGCGAGAAACATCAGCGAGGTGATGATCGGCTTGGCCAGCGGCAGCATGACGCGCCAAAACGCCTTGAACGCCGTGCAGCCGTAAACCATGGCGCACTCTTCGAGGAACGGCGGCAACTCGGCGAAATAGGCGCGCAGAATCCAGATGGCGAAGGGGATGATGAACACCTGGTACGCCAGCCACAACCCCGGCATGGTGTCGTAAAGTCCGATCTTCACCCACAGGATGGTGAACGGCACGACGAGCAGCACGAAGGGAAACAGCAGCGCCATGACGATGATGTAGAACATCACGTCCTTGCCGCGGAACTGCTTGCGCCCGAAGACGTAGGCGCCCGGCACGGCGACGCACAGCGCCAGCACCGCGGCGCCCAGCCCGGCGATCATGCTGTTGTAGATGTAGACGTGGAACTGTTCGAATTCGATGGCATAGCGCCAGGCGTCCAGGCTCCACACCCTGGGGAGCCAACGCACGTCGAAAATTTCCTCGGCCGGCTTGAAGGCGGTGAGGGCAATGTAGCTGTATGGGATCAGGACGATCAGCAGAACCACGGCGAGACCGCCGTAGCCGAGTACTATCTGCGTGAGGGTTGAACGCTGCGTGTACATGGCCATAGGGCTGTTCAGCGCCTCCGTGCCTGCTTGATCTGCTTCTGAAAGCCGCGCAGAAACGGCGCGATGAGCACGAAGGTGACCAGGATGAGGAGCAGCCCGACGGTGAACGCCATGCCGAAATCACCCGACAGATAGGCGAAGCGGTAGGTCAGAATGCTGAGGACGCTGGTTTCGTAGCCCGGGCCACCGCCGGTGAGTTGGAAGGGTTGCTCGATCTTGGCCAGATTCCAGGCGATGCGGATGATCACCGCGGCAAGCATGGCGCCGCGAATGTGTGGCAGGGTCACCACCCAGAAACGTCGCCACGGATTGGCGCCGTAGACCTCCGCGAGCTCGTAGTAGCTCCCGGGTATGGCCTGCAGGGCCGCCAGCAGGATGATGAACATGAACGGCCAGAAGGTCCACGACGCCACCAGCATGATGATCCACTTGGCCCACACCGGATCCGAGAACCAGTAGATCGGCTCAGAGATGATGCCCCAGCTCAGCAGATAGTGCGTCACCATGCCAAGGTCGGGGTCGAGCAGGTACATCCAGATCGCGCCGACGACCACCGGCGGCATGGCATAAGGCATCAGCATGACGCCGCGCCACACGGATTTCAGGGGGATGAATGATTGGTTCAGCGTCAGGGCGGCGACGAGGGCCAGGGCCAATTGCAGAACGGTGCTCAGCGAGTACAACAGGGTGACGCGCATCGTGGTCCAGAAATACGCCGCGCCGAACAGGTCACGGTAATTCTGCAGGCCGATCCATTGCGGCTCGCCGATGAACGGCCACTTGTGGAAACTCATCCACACGCCCTGCAGGAACGGCAGCCACAGCAGCAGGACGAGGAACAACACGGTGGGCAACAGGAACAGCCAGATCAGCCAACGATCGGTGCCAGCTGGTGTGGGGCGGCTGGCAGCCGCGGCGGCAGGAAGGGCAGGGCTGATGTCGAGGGCGTGCCCAGGATGTAGCGCTTCTTGACGGGCCATCGAATTTCCGGGGTTATTCGGGGATTACAGGATTTTGTTGACTGCAGCGGCATAGGCGCGCAACTCGCTGGCCACGTCGTTTCCCTGCATGGCCTGCTGGATGTGCGGCGCGAACAGATTGTACTGAATATCTACGCTCCTGACATGGTTGCTCCACACGCCGGGATTATCCAGCATGGATGTGACGGCCTCGATGTAGTGGTCCGGGGCGCCTTTCAGATCCTCCCACAGGTCGCGGCGGGCACACAAGCCGCTGCTTTTGGCCAGGGCGATTTGATTCTCCGGCAGCAGCCACTCCTTGATGAATTCCCAGGCGGCTGCTTCCTTGATGGCGGCGTCCGGGCCTTCCTGCCGGGCAATGCTGAACGAACTCATGGCCAAAAACGCCGTCGAGCCGGTGGTGCCGCCGGCCATCGGGCAGTGCGGTCCCCACTGGATGGTGCCATCTTGAATCCCACGCCGCATGCGGCGCATGATCGTGCCGCGGTTGAGGATGTCGGCGTGCACGAGACTTTTCTTGCCGCGAATGAGTTGCTCCACGGCGTTCTCATCGGTGCTTTGCGGGGTGTTCGGCGATGAGAAGCCGTACTTGCGGTACAGATCGATATAGAACTGCACCGCGGTGAACCAAGCGTCGCTGTCACAGGTGGAGCGGCTCCAGTCGTCGTTGATGAAGTCGCTGTTGGGGATGTCCAGCGACCGCACCCAGCCGTTCAACTGCGTGTCGCCGGCGTCCCAGATTTTGCCGTACACCTCGTAGGGGTACTCGGTAACGGATCGCAAAGCGGTGAGGACCTCGACGAGATGCTCGGTGTCTCGGATGGGCCAATTGCTGTCGAAGTCCAGGCCGGCTTGCTTCCAGTGGTCGAGGCGGGTCACGAACGGCGCCTGCGGGATTAGCGTGAAGGGGAGGTCGTAGATCTGGTCGGCGTCGGGGTAGCCGCGATTCTGCTGCTCGACCAGTGGCAGCAGCCAGGCGATAGCCGCGTGAGTCTCCGGGTCCAGGTCGGCGATAAAGTCGTTCATCGGCCGCAGGAAGCTCCGCAACTGGCCGCTCCAGCGATTGGAGCCGTCGAACACCGTGGGAATTTTGCCGGCGACGAAGTTGGTGCGGTACTTGGGGCCGATGATGCTGCCGTAGGTGTCCCAGGTCATCTTCACCTTGGCGCCCGTGCGTTGCTCGAAGGCCTTGACAATCGAGGCGGAGAGGCGTTTGACGATGGGATTCTGCACCCCGATCATGTTCCAGTAAACGATGGTGACGCCCTTGAGGTCGCCGCCGGCCTGCGCGTGCAACAGGTCCGGTGTCAGGCTGGTGGTCAACCCCATAGCTGCCAACCCGGCAGTCATCGCAACGAAGTCGCGCCTGGAATACCGTGCATCGAGGTCCATAATCGCCTCCCTGTTTATCGTTTCGCCCCGCGCGGAGCCCAGCTTTAGGCACCTGGCTGTTGGCGTGGCACACTACTAAAGCTGGTGCGGGAGGTCAAGCGGTGGTCGTTGTCAGTGGGCAAGTTGCGTTCGGGCAGGACGGTAGGCAAGATAAACACCGAGCGGCGTAACGGCGGGGATGAAGACACAGCAGAGGAGATGGGAATGACGGCGGTGGTGATACCAACGCAGGACCGTGTGGAAGGTTACTTCAAAGAACTCAACAATTGGGGCCGCTGGGGCAACGACGACCAGCTCGGCACGCTGAACCTGATCACGCCGGCCAAGCAGGCGGCGGCGAAGGATCTCATCCGCAGCGGGTTGGCGGTGTCGCTGGCGCGGGACGTGGTGCCCCGTCCGGTGTACATGTACCACGTCACCTTCCCGGCGAAACGGGAGCGGGTGGACATCGTGCTGGACCGCTTCGACATGGTGTACCACGGCTTCTGGATCACGCACGTCGACGCGCTGTGCCACGTGGCCTGGGACGGGGAGTTGTACAACGGGCGCCCGTTCGCCGACAGCCTGACCGTTGAGGGCGCCACCTGGTGTCCCATCGACCCCATTTTCAACAAGGGCATCCTCACACGCGGTGTGCTGCTGGACATCGCCGCCGGGCGCAAGGAAGGGCACATTACCGTTGGGCATCCGGTCACGCCCAAGGAGTTGGACGCCGCTGCCAGCCGCGCCGGCGTGCAGGTGGAACCCGGCGACGTGGTCGTGGTGCGCGGCGGCGACGAGACGTTTCGCGCCGCCCATCCGGACTGGCGGCCGCGCATCTCGCCGCACCCGGGGCTGAATTTGTCGTGCATGGAATGGTTCCGCGAAAAGGACATCGCCGCCATCGCCTGGGACATGATGGACGAGCGCCCGAGCGGCTACGAAGGCTTCGGCATGGGCACACACCTGGCCATTCCGTTCCTCGGCCTGGCCCTCATCGACAACGTTGACCCCGAGCGTCTGGCGGTGGCTTGCGCCGAGCAGGGCCGTTACGAGTTCTTTTTCTCGGCCATGCCGCTGCCGCTCGTCGGTGCTACTGGCGCCCCGGCGCACCCGATTGCCATTTTCTGAGGCCGTTGGCAGATGACACCGCACGAATCCGCTCTGCCGCTTTTCGACGCCCACGCCCACCTGTACGCGGCGGCGTTTGCCGACGACCTGGACGATGTGCTGGACCGAGCGGCCACCCAAGGCGTGCAGGTGGTTCTCTGCGTGAGCGAAACGCTCGCGGAAGCGGAGCGAGTCATCGAGTTGGCGGACCGCCATCCGCTCATCAAGCCCTGTGCCGGGCTGTACCCGACGATTCTGGACCGCGATGCAGCGGCGGCGATGCTGGACTTCATCCGCCAGTACCAGGACCGACTGGTGGCCATCGGCGAGGTTGGCCTGGATTACTGGAAGGTGCAGGACGCCGCTGACCGCGAGGTGCAGCGCGACATTCTGGCGCAGCACATTGCCCTGTCCCGCGAACTCGATATGCCGCTCAACGTCCACTCGCGTTCCGCTGGCCGTCACGCCATCGCCTGGCTGCGCGACAACGGCGCCCGGCACGTTCTGCTGCACGCCTTCGACGGCAAAGCCGCCACCGCTCGCGCCGGTATCGAAGCGGGCTACTATTTTTCCATTCCCCCTTCGATCGTCCGTTCGCCGCAGAAACAGAAACTCGTTCGCCACCTGCCGCTGGAGTACTTGCTGCTGGAGTCCGACGCCCCCGTTCTGGGTCCCGAGAAAGACGTACGCAACGAGCCGTGCAACGTCTGGCTCTCCTGCCAGCACATCGCCGCTATCAAGGGCGTGCCAGTGGAAGAAGTGGCCCGAATTACAACCGCTAACGCCAAGCGCCTGTTTCCACGCGCCTTTCAGTAGGCCGCGAGGGACCCGAATCGGCTTGTTTCCCGAACCCGGCGCATGCAGAATAGCGCGTTGTTGAAAGCCGTTACATCGGCAGCAAAACCCGCATTTGATTCCCCCTCGGCAAAAGGAGACCGCACATGGCAATCAAGGTTCTTGAACTGCATCACCACGGCATTCGCATCGGCAAGGAAGATGGCGAAGTCGAAAAGGCACGCGCCTTTTACAGCGACGTGCTGGGGCTGGAGACCGACGCCGGCCGGCCCACGATCCCCGGTATTCCCGGCTTCTGGATGTACATCGGCGAAGGCGACAACACCTCGCAGATACACCTCATGGGTGCCGTCGGCATGTCGCCCGTCGCGCGCAGCGAAAAGGAAGACCCCACCCACCCGCACGTCGCCCTCGCGGTCGAGGACATCCAGGAAGCCAAACGCGATCTGGAGGCCCGCGGCATCTGGTACTGGCAAATCGAGGGTCTCGTCGGCCAGGGATCCGATCAGATATTCGTGCGCGATCCCTTCGACAACATCATCGAGCTGCACCAGATCGGTACCTGCCGCTGTAACAAGGCGGCGCTGTAGGGGCGTGCCGGCCCCCACGACCATGCCCGGTTGAGAGCCGCTCTCCTGACAGCTCTAACCGCGTGCCACCGCGGCCCTGAGCCGCGGCGGACGAATGCAGCCAATGGTATCGTGGAGCTCATGGAATTTCGAATGGGACGAAAGCAAAGCAGCGGCCAATTTGTCAAAGCATGGGGTCTCGTTTGACGAAGCGAAGACCGTCTTTGATGATCCATTCCACATCGATTTCCATGACCCCGACCATTCCGAGGCGGAGGACCGTTATATCATCGTGGGTCAATCGCAACAGCGCCGTTTCCTGATCGTCTCCTAGCAAGGGAAGCGACACGGAGGGAAAGAACCGCTTATGAAGAAGGCTGAAACCGACATGGGAGATGAGCTTCGGCCGGAATATGATTTAAGGAGCCTGCGGCTGAGAAAGGTCGGCCTTGGTCGGCAGGGCTTCAGCGAATTGAACGTCCGGTTGGAAGCCGATGTCGCGGCGGTATTTCCAGACGCCCAAGCCGTCAATGAAGCGCTGCGATTTTTGATTCGGATTACCCGAGAGCATCCATCATCACGCTCAGACGCTTGAACTGTCCTGGAAGCGCTCCCGATCGGTAGATGCTACTGATACCGGGTGCCGCGCCTGGGTTCGCCCTTGATGAGATCGGGCGGCTCGTAGTTGATGTAGAACACTTCAAACTCCGTGCTCTCACCCGGTTCGACGCGGATCACCCGTATCTCATTGTCCGCGTTGCCCTCTGTCTCCAAGCGCTCGTAGGTGATTTTAGGGAAGGGGATGCGATAAAGCCGCGGCGTATCGTCTTGCTCCAGCGCCTCGACGTAGATGTACAACGACTCTTCTGAGGCGCTTGGTTGGGTGGCCAGCAATTGATAATCTCCTTGGGGCGGCTTGGGATTGGGATGGCCGAGGGCCTGCAATTGAATCCCCAAGGGCAGCCAGATGGCCACAGCGCCCGCAATGGCGGCTAAGGCTTTCAGTTTGCGTCCAGACAGGAAGATGGCGAGGAAAATGACCAGTATGCAGCCCGTATGGAGGGCCAGAAGACCTGCGTAGGGTGTGAACGGCATAGTTAATCAGCCTCGCTCTTCTGGCGCACGAGAAAATGATAGGCGGGCATGTCCGGCGTCGCACCGGGTTCGATTCGCACCGAGAGTTTCTCGAAGATGGTCAGCGTTTCCTGCGCTTCCTGCAAAGTCAGGGCCGCTTCCAGATTGAACGGCACCTGGTAATGGCGCGGCGTGGAATCATCCTCCTGAGCCACAAACAGATAAATTTCCTGCCGCGATTCGTCAATGTCCCAACCCAGCACGTCATAGACGCCGCTTCCCGGCCACGGGTCGGGATAGCCCAGGGTATTGGACAAAAATACGTACGGCATAGCCAAGGCAACCACGCCGATGATCACGGTGACCAGTCGCAGCCCCCATTGCCGGGGACGGTACAGGAACAACATGGCGAACAGAAAGCACACCGTCGCCGCATGGATGGCGAACAGGACGATGAATTGGAGGATGTCGGACATAGTGAAACCTAGCGATAGGCCAAGATCGATTTGTAGAGATTATGGATGCTGTCCGATATCAACTCCCCGTCCTCATCCAGGCTGAACCGCACGACGGTGACTTCGTGCTTACGCCGGGTCAGCAGCACGTCACCTGAGAAGATTTCGCCGATGTCTCCCTTCCCGGCAACGGTGACTTTCACGGGCACGGGCAGGGGATCACCAAACTCATTGTAGAGATGCAGGTTGACCGTATATTCGCCCGGGTCACGGCTGCGGATCGACATCATTTCGTAATTGAGTGTGGCGGCGTCATTGATTTTGCCGCGGTCGTCGCGCTCCAGGTTCAAGGCCGGACCCGCCGTAAACACCCCCCAGCCCACCGGCACGCCGTCGGGACCCATGCCCCACAAATCCACGTCGTACGAGGTGCCCGTGGGCCAGAAGGCCTCGATCAGGATCTCCGTTCGAATCGGCACCTCATCGGTCTTTTTGACCGGATTGATCAGGAACGTCATCAGGAAGATCACCACCACCAGGCTGAGGACCATGAGGAATAGCACGTCCCGAAAGACTACCCCGGCAGGATCGGTATCTGGCGTCAACTCTCCTAAGGCGTACATGTCTCGGCTTGCAGAAGGGTTGAAAGATTGGGAAACCTCACGAGGCGTCGGCGCCCCTCGCTTCCCAATTGACGGTCAATTGGGGAATCACTTCGACCTCGGCGTGTTCAACGATGCGCACCACGAGATCGGTCACGGCGCGCAACAGCATCTGGTAATGCACCTGCAGCCAGATGCCGCCCAGGACGCTGCCGACCAAGGTCGTGAACAGCGCCACGCCCATGCCGTTGACGATCTGGCTCAGCACGTTTTTCACGCGATCGATGTTTTCGCCCTGGCCGAGGCTGTCCCCCAAGCCGCTGACCGCAATCACGAATCCGACGACGGTTCCGATCAGGCCGAGCAGAATCAGGGTATTCGCCACGTAACCGACGACTTGAACCGACGTCATCAGCCGGATGCGCAGCGTGGTGGCCAGCAGATTCTGGTCGATGGGGGCTCCCTGTTGGTTGCGGCTCTTGCTCTGCAGCTTGGCGAAGTAATCCGCCGCCACCCCCTGCGGACTGGCGTCGGCAAAGCGCGTCAATTCTCGATTCAGGATCAGGACGTGGTAGGTACTGATGATCCAGAACACCCCGAAGACCAGGATGATCGCCCACGACAGATAGCTCGCGTCGCTGCGCAGGATCAGTTCGATCCAGCCTTGCAGCCAGGCAACGTATCCTATGAGGACGGCAAAGGAATTGCCCAGGAGCCACTTATAGAATAGGGTGTGTTGGATGTTCATGCTGGTGTGACCTTATGAAGGGTCGAGAAACCGTCATGGTTGCCGATGCAAGCGTCTTCATAAACAGTGCTGAGCGTATATCTGTTGTCTCCGGGTTGTCAACCATTGATGAGGAGTGCGCATGTCATGGCTGAGGTGCGATGGGTGCTGAATCGGCATCCGTGGATTCTCGCGGTGCTCATTCTGGTTGGTCTGGGCGCCGCCATGGGGGCCGTCACGAATTACATTCATCATACCGTCCGTCCGCAGCAGCGCGCTGCCCTGGAGGCACGGATCGCCGACGCCGTCCACCGCGCGGAGGGGCGATACGAGGGCGGCAAGTTCGCTCGCGCCTTGGAGGATTATCAACATGTTCTGCGCACCTTCGATGCCGATCTGACAGGCGAGGCCAAGGGGCAGATCACGGAACAGGTGGGCCTGTGCTATCTCGGACTCGCCGAGCAGAGTGACCCGCAAGGCCATCTGCCCCAGGCGGTGGCGGCGTTTCAAGAGGCGCTGGCGCTGCTTCCTGTCAACGCCTTCGCCACCGCCCATGCCAGCGTCCAGAGCCACCTGGGAGATGCGTATCGGCGGCACTTTCAGGTCGAGGCCAAGTCGGAGCTTGCAAACAGAGCGGTCGAAGCCTACCAGTCTGCCCTCGGGCTGCATGCGGCCGATTCCGATGCGGTGGCGCAGGCGCAAACGCTCAACCGCCTTGGCAACGTCCACCGGGACCTCCATCAGGCGGGCAACTCGAGCATGGAGCAAGCCCTGCAGTTCTACGAGCAGGCGCGCGCGGCGCTGGAGGCGGCACCGGACGCCGCCACCCTTGGGACAACCTACACCAACATGGGCTTGGCCTACCTCATTCTGGCGCGGGGAAACGGCGCCAGCCGTAACTTGAAACGGGCCATCGACCAGTTTGACAGGGCGGTGAACCAACTGGACGCCGAGACCTCGCCGCACGAGTTTGGCACCGCGCACAAGCACCTGGGCGACGCGTACACGCTGCTTGCCGATGCCAAGCCCGGCAGCAGCATCAACCGGGCGCTGCACACGCAGAACGTCATCGCCTACCGCAACAAGGCGAAAGCCGCCTATAAGGTCGCCGAGAATTTCGGCATTCCGCGCCAGCGCCCCACGCCGGTTGAGAAGAAATAACGCCGTGACGGAAGGCTGAAACGTCCTTGACTTCCCGGTGAGCTTCTGCTAGACGGCTACTCAGTTGTTCTTCTTTACCAAACGTTCTAAGCAATGACCCTATTGGTAAGAAGGAGGGAAGGATCATGAGTAGTCGTATCTTCAAGCGCGTGTCCGGGTTGCTGGTGGTGGTTTCCTTGCTCATGCTGATGATCGGCGGCGCGCAGGCGTTCCCGGTGCGGGATGAAGCGCTGGCGCGGCCGGCCGGCGAAGAATGGCTGCACGTCCACGGCGACTGGCAAGCCACCCGGCACAGCACGCTCACACAGATCAATACGAGCAACGTTCAAGACCTCAACGTGGCCTGGGCGCTCGCCCTCGGCGGCGTTACCGGCCTGCAGTCCAATCCCATCTACCACGACGGCCTGTTGTACATCCCGCTGGACAACAAAGTGCATGCGATTGACGCCCGCACTGGCGCTCGGGTGTGGAAATTCGAGCACGAATTGCCCGAGGACTGGGGCCACTGGCAGTTCAACGACTTCCTGACCAACAAGCACCGCAGCGTGGCGATCTACCAGGACAAGATCTACTTCCTTTCCAACGACAACGTCCTGCACGCACTCCATTACAAGACCGGCGAGTCGATGTTCGCCAAGCAGATACGGGAATACCCGCGCACCTACGAATCATCGGACGACGCCGGCGGCTACCTGACCACCGTAGGCCCTCTGGTGATTCCGGGCCAGGTCCTTCTGCCCATGAACGCTTCCGACATGGGCGGCAAGCCCGGCTTTGTGGACTCCGTTGACCCGGAGACCGGCGAGTTGTTGTGGTCGGCGAACATGATTCCCGGACCCGGCGAGCCGGGCTACGATAGCTGGCCGGGAAACAGCCGGGATTACGGCGGCGCCGGCCCGTGGATTACCGGCAGTTGGGACCCCGATCTGAAGATGTACTACACCGGCACGGCAAATGCCTATCCGTACACCCCGCACAGCGAACGGCAAGGCCGCGGCGGCGGTGACTACGAGAACGTCGGGGCCGCCGCCGTGGTGGCCGTCGACACGGAAACCGGCAAGGTCGCGTGGCGCTACACCGTGGTGCCGGGCGATCCCTACGATTACGACACCATGCAGGTGCCCTTGGTTCTTACGATCGACGGACGCAAGACCGTGGTGCAACCCAACAAGACCGGATTTATTAGCTATCTGGATGCCGCGACCGGCGAGTTCCTGAAAGCGACGCCGTTTTCGGACCGCATCACCTGGGCGTCGGGTTTCACCGATGATGGCAAGCCCGTCTGGACCCAGACCATCCCTCAGGAAGGCGAGGATCCGGTGGAGGTGTGGCCCAGCCTGCTGGGCGGCGTGAACATGTACCCGCCGGCATACAACCCGCAGACCGGCATGATTTATTTGTCGGCGCGTGAGATGGGCATGCTGTGGGGTTTCGAGAAGGTGCAGACGACGAGCAACGTGCAACTCGTTGGCGCAACGTTTGAACTGCCGCCCGGCGGCTATGAGCTGAACAAGGCGGTGAACGCCGCAACCGGACAGGAAACCTGGCGCGACCAGAAATCCAAGGACGGTTACTCCGGCGGCATGCTGAGCACTGCCGGCGGTTTGGTCATGTACGGCGGCGCGGGCGGTATCGTGCACGCCGTGGACGCCAGCACCGGAGAAATCCTCTGGACCTTCAGCGCCGGTGTCACCTTCAAAGCGGCGCCGATCACCTACATGCTCGACGGCAAGCAGTACGTCACCATCGCCGGCGGCGGCATGCCGACGTTTGGCTCGGCACCCGACGATCATCCCCTTGAACATGGCAGCATCATGTTCACCTTCCGTAGGTAGCCCTGTCTTACGGACAGCGGCATGTGGTAACGACCCGGCGAAAGCACGTCGAATCGGCGTGCTTTCGCTGCATCTGGGAAGACGAGTCAGATGAATCGGAGGCCCTGTAAATCGCTATTCCTTTCTGTGCTGATTTTCGCAACCGTTTTGTCCACAGTTCTGACGACGGGCTCACAAGACGCGCTGGCGGCTGTGAAGGTCGCGTCTTCCAATCCGTTGTCAGGCGACGAGAGCGCCATCCAGGATGGCAAAACGCTCTACCGCGCCGTTTGTGTGGTTTGCCACGGCATGAGAGCCAACGGCAGAGGGCGGGGCATTGCCGGGGCCTCGAATTTGCAGAAGTTCAAGCGCGGCTACGGCCTTTACGTGCAGATCATCAAGAAGGGCAAGAAAAAGATGCCGCCCTACGGCGGCGGTAGGGTGTTGAGCGATGAGGAGATTGACCAGATTGGAGCGTATCTGGAAACCCTGGCGGTCAGAGGGGCGGTGTGGCTTGATCCTGAGTGAGCCGGCTTCCGGCAAATTTGAGGGGAGGGGAGCGCGGTCACGATGGCTTCTGACGCCGGGCGTTGTCGCCCTCGTCGTTATGTTGCTGTGTCCCGGCCTGTTACCGATTACCGAGACACACGCCCAGCCTGAGGCGGACTGGCGGCTTGACGTCAACCGGCAAGTGTTCAAGGCTCAAAGCTGGAACTGGGTGTTGCGGTTTGTCGAGCGACAAGGCGACAATCTGATTCTCGGCGTCGTATACAAAAATAACGCCAGTTCACCCAGACCGATATTCCTGGCGGAAGATTTTCACACTTCGACGCTGCTGACGGACAATGAGACCTCGGCGAAATATCCATTGCTCGCGGTCAGCGGCATCTCCGGCGAGCCAACGAAGGTAGGCCGCAGGAAGCGCAAGACAGCCCTCTTCACCTTTCCCTATCCCACCGGCGCGACGGACCTCACCTTCTCCAGTGTGTGGATTACCGTCTGGATGATGAACGCCGCGTCACGCATTCAGGTGGAATTCCCCATCCCCATGCCGCGTTGAAAGCCTTCTGCTCATAGGCCGTCGGAAGCACTTCCGTTTGCGCATTCTTGCACGTGCGCCTCTGCCAGTTCCTGCATGCTGCCGAAAACGAAATCGTAACCCGGCATGGCTTCCGGCTTGACCGTGGCTCCAAACCCCTCCTTGCCGCGTCGGCGGTAAATCCAGCAATTTCTGATACCCAACTCGTTTGCCGGCGCGTGGTCATGGAACATGCTTTCGGCGACGTGCAGAACGTCCTCCTTGGCGAAGCCCGCTCGCGCGAGGTTTCGGAGCATGTAGTCGAAGTTTCGCTTTGCGGGCTTGTAGGAGCCGATGTCCTCCGCCGTGAAGATGGCGTCGAATTCAATGTCCAGTTTTTCATTGGAGTAGGAAAAGTTCACGTTGTCGACGTTGGAGAGAATGACCAGCCGAAAGGGGCGTTTCAAATGCCGCAACGCGTCAGCGCTGTCGGGAAAGGCAGGCCAGGTTTTGACGGACTCCCCATAAGCCACGCATTCGTCCCACGCAGCAGGCTTTCCCCACTCTTCGGCCAGCCTGCGGTATACGGTTGCTAAAAGGTCGGCGTAGCGCATGCCAGGCGTCGAGGACTGCTGCTGGGATTCGTGATAGGCGTGCGATTCGAGGATCTCGTCACGGGAAATCGTATGGTCCAGCCTGTCGGTCAACGGTTTCAAGCCTGCAAGGATGCCGCTTTCCCAGTCGATCAACGTGCCGTAGCAGTCGAAGGTCAGAACTTTAAAATCCCTAATGCGCATGGGTCGTGTTGCCTCGATTGATTGGGCGGCAAAGGCCCGAACAGGAGCCAAGATCGGCTGGATTCCGGGTCAGCCCGGAATGACCCCTCGGGAACCGGGGTGCTCCCTGCTCATCGGCAAGCGCCTACGAAAACTCCACGCTTAACCCGATGAACCCGTAGCGGCCCAGGGCATCGTACATGCCGGGGAAGGTGTTGCCGTTGCCATTGATGGACGGTCCTGCCGCGCCGCCGGCAATCGGCGGTGCTTCGTCGAACAGGTTGTTGATACCGACGCGCAGGCTGATGGATTCGGTGTAATCCCAGATCGCTGCCAGGTCGAAGTAATGCCGCGCCCCGAGATCGATCCGGGTAGAGTTGAGGTCCTCAACGCCGCTGATGTATCGCCACATGAGACTGGGCCGCACCCGCCAGGGCGTAAGCCAGGTAACGCGCAGATTGTTCCGCGTATCAGGGGTCGGCGAGCCGCACGTAGCGCCCCATTTGCCGGCGCAATCCACCTTCGGCGCCCCGAGCAACTCCTGCTGGTCCCACGTGGTGGTGATGGAAAGAATGTCGCTGAAGCTCAGCCGTCCCCAGTCCCCAACGTCGAGGTCATAACGGACGGTAAGGTCATACCCCTGCACTTCCTCGATGGCCAGGTTATCCAGCAGGGACTCAATGTGGCCGCTGCGTTCGACGTCGGACCCTACCCACAGATCACCCCCCAGCCCGCGTTTCACCTTGTCGCACTGCGAGGTGTCGCCCTCCAGACACTGGTTCAGAATGAACTCCGGCTTCACCACGCTGATACCTTTCCTGATTCGGATCGAATAGGCGTCCAGGCTAAGGGTGAAACCCTCGATAAACCGGGGCGTCCAGACCAGCCCGTAGGCATAGGAGCCACTTGCAAAACCCTGTAGCGTCAGGAGCGAGCGGCAGACGTTAAAAAAAAGCAACGATTTGGTAACGTTTCTGCGCCGGATACGCCGCCAGGACGGCTCCGGTGTTGCAAGTTGGCTAAAATCCACAGACGATTCGGCGTCCGTTGCGGTGTACGAACAACGCTGTCCCGTGACTCCCCTGCCAGGAGAGCGTGCAGCCTGCAATAAATGGATGGCGCCAGGTCGGGGTCAGTTTAGCAGGCGCAGCAACTGTGTCACCGTCAGCGCCAGGATGCCAAACATCAGGTGGCACAGCACCTTGGCGTGCCCGCGCACGCGTATCTGGCGGGCGCCAAACTCATCCTTGAGCCGACCGTCGAATCGCGTGACACGTGGCCGACCAGATGACCCTGCATGGTCTTCTCGATGAGGGCCTCATGTAGGCGGCTCGGCAAGGCACTTTCAGCGAAGGTGCAAGGCGCGCGAGAAGGTCGCCGCGCTCGGGACCTGCCCAAGACGACTCCAGCCGCACAAGCGACGCAGCGGTCGGTCGACTGCCAGCCGCTCGATCAGAGCCCGGGTGGTCGGGAGTTGAAACACCGCCTTGGCGATAAAGGCGGGCGCCCTGGCAGGGCGTGGAAAGACGTCAGGAATCGCTCAACCCGCACGAACTCGAGCACCGTGACGAACAACTCGTAGCGCTCCCCCAGAGGACCGATCTCTTCTTCGAGCGCAGGGAAAAGCTCCCGTTGAAAGACGAACCAGTAATTCGATAGGATTTCACGAAGGGACATGGCCGTTCTCTCCATCATGTGGTGGTTGCACAACACATGATTTCAGGCAAAGGCGGCCTGTCCCGTTACTTCAACCTCTTGCCCTCAACAACTCCCCTGCATCCACAGTTTTGCAAAAGGCTCTCTTTACAAAATACCCTCCGGCATTTCAAATTGTCATTGTGGCTATCATGCCTATAGAATGGGCAATGCCCACCGAGCACAGAAGGTCTGGCCGGTGTGGCAGCATGGGGACCGTTAGCCCACAGGAGGAATGGTTATGCCTTGGCAACGGCATGGAATCACACTCGGCATTTGCATTCTCGGCATCGGTGTCTGCGGGTTTCTGTGGAACGGCTATTTTGGGGTGATGCTGACGCTGGTCGCCGAATCGGCGCCGTATTTGTTGATCGGGTTTGCGCTGGCGGGGATTCTGAAGGCCATTGTGCCGGAGGATAAGGTCTACAAGCACCTCGGCGACAACCGCTTCAAGTCGGTGATCCTGGCCTCCCTGTTCGGCATTCCGCTGCCGCTGTGCTCGTGCTCGGTGCTGCCGGTGGCGACGTCGCTGCGGCGCAGCGGGGCAAGCAAAGGGGCGACGACGTCCTTTCTGATCTCCACGCCCGAGACGGGGCTGGATTCCATCGGCATTACCTACGCGCTGCTCGATCCCATCATGACGGTGGCGCGTCCGCTGGGGGCGTTCGCCACCGCGGTGTTCACCGGCTCGGTGGTCAACTTCGTGGTGCGGCGGGGTTGGGACGGGGATACCGAGGCACCAGCCGATGAGCCTCACGACCTTGTCCACGATCACGATCACGACCACGGCCACGACCACAGCACGGTGTATACGCCGGGCGGCGTCGGAAAGCGTTCACTCAAGGAAGTGACGCGGGATTCGATGACCTACGCCTTTGGGCCGCTGCTGGACGACTTGACGGTATGGCTGATCATCGGCCTGTTGGTGTCCGGGCTGATCGCCATCCTCGTTCCCGACGATTTCTTCGGCTCTGTCATCCCCGCCGGGTTCGTGTCGTCGGTGCTCATGCTGTTGATCGGCACGCCGATGTACATCTGCGCCGCCGCCGCCACGCCGGTCGCCGCCACGCTGATCGCCAAGGGGCTGGACCCCGGCGCCGCGCTGGTGCTGCTGCTGGTCGGGCCAGCCACCAACGCCACCACCATTGCCATCATTGCGCGCCTGCTGGGCCGGCGTGTTCTGGTGCTGCACCTGATCGGGGTAACCGGCAGTGCGCTGTTGCTGGGCTTGTTGATCAACGCCGTATACAGCTATTTTGCGGTGGACCTCAGTGCGATTGTTGCACGGGTCGTGGAAAGCGGGTTGTCGCCGCTGAACATTGTTGCCACGGTATTGTTCGTCTACCTGCTGGTTTTCAGCACGGTGCGCATGCGGCTGGGTCCGTACATGGTCGAGCGCGTGCGGGCCTACAGCGCGCCGCTGGGATTCGACCCCCTGTCCCCCGCCTTCCGGGTCGCCGCCCTCATCGTTGTCGTCGCGCTGTACGTCTCCACCGCCTTTTCCGTGGTCGGTCCGGGCGAAGCTGCCTGGATAGTGCGTCTCGGGCGCGTTGTGCGCACGCTTGACACGCCGGGCCTCTACGCGCACCTGCCGTTGCCGATCGACCGTGTTACCCGGCTGCGCACCAACGAAGTGCGTAGCCTCGATCAGGGCTTCCTGCGCGCTGCCAACCGTATCGACATTGAGCCCTCCGACCGTGAAGACCTGGTCGACGCCGCCCAGGTGATGAGCGGCGAAGAAAACATCCTCAGTCTTTTCTACACCGTTCACTTCAGCGTCAACGAGCCCTATGCCTACAAATACCGGGTGGCCGATCCCGCCGCGGTGGTGCGCACCTTTGCCGAGTGGGCCGTGCGCCAGACGGTGGCGCGGCGTTCGTCATCGGAGGTCCTGGTGACCGACCGGGCTGCCATCGAACAGGAGGTTCTGGCCGCCCTGCAAGCCGAGCTTGACGCCGTTGGCAGCGGCGTTCGGGCGGTGGCCATGAACCTGCTCGACGCCCACGCCCCGCCCGCCGTGCACGAGGCGTTCCGCGACG